CTCACTCTGTCCCTAGTCACCCCTTCCCTGCTTAACTGTCACTAGTCACACCCTCCCTCACTCTGTCACTAGAGTGATGGGGTGACTAGTGGCAGAGTGAGGGAAGGAAGGCACTAGTCACCAGCTCCCTTACTCTGTCACTAGTCATCACCTCCCTCTGTCACTACTCCCTCCCTCCTTTTATCACTAGTCACCCCCTCCGTCCCTCACTCTGTCACCAGTCATCCCCTCCCTCTGTCACTAGTCACCCCCTCACTCTAGTGACAGAGTGAGGGAGGGTGTGACTAGTGACAGAGAGAGGGAGGATGTGACTAGTGACAGAGGGAGTGGGTCACTAGTGACCGAGGGAGTGGGTCACTAGTGACAGTAAGGAAGGGGATGACTAGTGACAGAGTGAGGGAGGGAGTGGGTGACTAGTGACAGAGTGAGGAAGGGGGTGACACAATGACAGAGTGAAGGAGTGAAGGAGGTGGTAACTGTCACTAGTCACCCCATCACTCTAGTGACAGAGAGAGGGAGGGTGTGACTAGTGACAGAGTGAGGGAGGGAAGGGGTGACTAGTGAGAGTGTCACCCCCTTCCTCACTCTGTCACTAGTCACCCTCTCCCTCCCTCACTCGGTCACTATTCACCCCCTCTCTCACTCTGTCACCAGTCATTCCCTCACTCTGTCACCAGTCATCTCTTCCTTCCCTCACTCTGCCACTATTCATCCCTTCCCTCACTCTGTCACCAGTCATCCCCTCACTCTGTCACTGTGAAGGAAGGAAGGGGTGACTGGTGACAGAGTGAGGGAATGACTGGTGACAGAGTGAGAGAGGGGGTGACTAGTGGCCGAGTGAGGGAGGGAGAGGGTGACTAGTGACAGAGTGAGGAAGGGGGTGACACAGTGATAGTCACCCCATTCCTCCCTCTGTCACTAATCACCACCTCCCTCACTCTCACTAGTCACCCCTTCCCTCCCTCACTCTGTCACTAGTCACACCCTCCATCTCTCTGTCACTAGTCACACCCTTACTCACTGTCACTAGTAACACCCTCCCTCTCTCTGTCACTAGAGTGAGGGGGTGACTAGTGACAGAATGAGGGGGTGACAGGTGATAGAGTGAGGGAAGGGGTGACTAGTGGCAGAGTGAGGGAAGGGAGGGGTGACTAGTGACAGAGTAAGGGGATGACTGGTGACAGAGTGAGGGAGGGGGTGACACAGTGACGGAGGGAGGTGGTGACTAGTGACAGAGTGAGGGAGGTGGTGACTGTCACTAGTCACCCCATCCCTCTCTCTGTCACTAGTCACTCCCTCCCTAACTCTGTCACTGTGTCACCCACTCCCTCACTCTGTCACTAGTTACTCCCTCCCTAACTCTGTCACTGTGAAGGAAGGAAGGGGTGACTGGTGATAGAGTTAGGGAGGGAGTGACTAGTGACAGAGTGAGGGAGGGGGTGACACAGTGACAGAGTTAGGGAGGGAGTGACTAGTGACAGAGAGAGGGATGGGGTGACTAGTGACAGTCACCCCCTCCCTCCCTCTGTTACTAGTCACTCCCTCACTCTGTCACCAGTCATCCCCTCACTCTGTCACCAGTCACCCCTTCCCTCCCTCACTCTGCCACTAGTCATCTTTTCCCTCCCTCACTCTGCCACTAGTTACCCATTCCCTAACTCTGTCACTAGTCACCCCCTCTCCCTCCCTATGTCACTAGTCACCCCCACTCACTGTGTCTCCCACTCACTCTGTCACCACTCAACCCCTCCCTCCCTCACTCTGCCACCAGGTACCCCCTCACTCTGCCACCTGTCACAACCTCCCACACTCTTCCACCTGTCACCTTCTCCCTCACACACTGTCACCTGTCACATATGCATTCACACAGACACTATATACAAAAAAGCACATGTAGTCATCCCGACATTCACACAGACTCAAATACAAACATGCATTGATACACAGGTCTTCACAATATACACATCCAAAGGAATGCTGTATTATGAGTTATATTTAACATTTATTTAATGCACATATATTTGGCCTTCAAAGGGCCTGGGATCTAATTTTGCCCGGGGGCCCCAAAGGCTCTCAGTCCGCCCCTGTGTATTACAGTTGGACAGACATGTAGCGCAAATGCCAGGTTTTGTTTACATTTTGTTTCGTTCACACTGTGTACATTTGGCTCCGTCCTTAAGGGGTTAAAATTGGTATGGTTTAAAAAAAAAAAAAGTTTGTTTTTTAAATTTTCTTTTTTTTTCTGTGTTGTGGTTTCCCCCCCTTTTTTTGTGCTGCTGCTTGATTGATTGGGGGAGTGTTCATTAATTGCACCTGTGTGGGATTGTTTCCCCATAAAGGCACACCCCTAACTCACTGAGCTTGCTCACATTACTTGAAAGCAGCCTCTATTAAGTAGGAGTTTTTGAAACAAACAAGGGGTTTATACTATCAAGGTAATTGTTTTGTTTTCTGTTTCTGGGGAAATGAGTGTTAGCAAGATTGCTGGTTTGACTCAATGCACATCTTGTTCCATGTATGCATGTCTGGATGTACCGGTCCAGGGTCCATACCTCTGTGATGGTTGTGTGCGAGTGGCTTCTCTGGAAGCTCAGATTGGAGATCTTGAGAAGCAAATCGCAACTTTGAGGGATATTGACAATCTTGAGAGGAGTCTGCTGCTCACTGAGCAGAGTTTAGTGGGGACAGGTAGTGGAGAGGGAGGAGATAAGACAGATGGGGAACAGGCATGTAGCTGGGTGACAGTGGGGCGAGGAAGCGGGGGGAAGGGAAGAGGAAAGGGCTAGCTAGTCCTGATTTGGTGCAACCTAGCAGATTTGCCCGTTTGAGGGAAGATGTTGGGAGCATCAGCTCAGGAGTAGCTGTATTAGAGGAAGCTGTTACTTCTAACAGCCGAGGTAACAGCCCCCCTAGTACGGGTGGGGATCAAAATGTAAGGAAGGCAAGACAGGTTGTGGTGGTAGGGAACTCTATCATTAGGAGAGCAGATAGGGCAATCTGCCGCTCTGATCGGCTCAACCGGACAGTTTGCTGTCTCCCGGGTGCTCGGGTCCGGCATGTTGCTGACAGAGTGGATGGATTATTGGGAGGGGCTGGGGATGACCCAGCGGTCATGGTCCATGTTGGTACCAATGACAAAGTAAGAGGAAGATGGAAGGTCCTAAAGAATGATTTCAGGGAATTAGGTAGCAAACTTAAGAAAAGGACCTCCAAGGTGGTATTCTCTGAGATATTACCTGTGCCATGCGCTACAGTGGAAAGGCAGCGGGAGATTGGAGAGGTCAATGCGTGGCTTAAGTCTCGGTGCAGGAAGGAGGGTTTTGGGTTTTTAGAGCACTGGGCCGATGTTGCGATTGGGTACAACTTTTATAGTGGTGTTGGATTGCACCTAAATGGGAGAGGGTCTGCAGTGCTGGGGGATAGGATGGCTAGAAGGTTGGAGGAGATTTTAAACTAGTAGTAGGGGGGGAGGGTCATAGCAATTTACAAAATGGAGATAGGATAGAAATGAGATGGGCTTTAGCACAGTATAAGGGGGGTGGAAACGGGGGGAGGGGCAAGCTCAGAACAGAGAAGCTGTGTAATGTTGAAAATTCTATGTTTGTATGTCAAACATGATTTAAAGCCAAATGTTAAGCAAATGATATGCGAGGAGGATAATGTGGAAGCTTTATGGGTAAATATCTGCTTGGGGGAAAAGAAGGGAAACCAACTATTGGTTGGGATATGTTATAAACCACCTAATGTTAATATTGACGAGGAACAACAGCTGTTTGAGCAAATTGAGAAAGCTGAAATCTGGGTAACACTTTAATTATTGGAGATTTTAATTACCCGGATATAAATTGGGACAGAGGGACTAGTACCTCAGCAAAGGGAATTAGGTTTTTAAACTTGTTAAATGACACCTTCATGTCACAACTTGTACAAGCACCAACTAGAATGGACGCTTGTCTGGACCTGGTTTTAACAAACAACGTTGATCTTTTGACCAACATTCAAGTAGGTGAGCACTTGGGAAATAGTGATCACAATATAGTGTCCTTTGAAATAAACTCAAAAAAACAAAAGCACATGGGGAATACTAAAACATATAATTTTAAAAAGGCCAATTTCAATAAGTTAAGGGAAGCTTTACAATATATTGACTGGCATAAACTCTTTAGTGAAAAGAACACTGAGGATAAATGGATCATCTTCCAACAAATATTAAAAAGGTACATTTCTCAGTATGTACCGTTGGGAAATAAATATAAAAGAAACAAATTAAAACCAATGTGGCTTTGCAGAGAAGTAAAACAAGAGATTACAACTAAGAAAAGGGCATTTAAAGCATTTAAATCGGACAAATCAGATGCATCTTATAAAAGATATAAGGAAGCAAATAATGCGTGCAAAAAGGCAATTAGACTTGCTAAACTTCAAAATGAAATAATGATGGGGCGGGGCCGGACCACCGAAGGGATCAGACGTGCTCCGTCTGAGCTCCCGCTTTGGGGCCGGAAAAACGGCGCAAACTGAAGGCTAAACGCTCCCAGCCATCCGCAACGACGACCAAACCAATCCCCAGTTTCTGGGGTACGAGGGGAGACCCCCCAAGACTCTACTTGGCACCTACAGTAACCCGATGAAGGCCTGAGATGTGCAGGAGCTTGAGCCGGGATGAGACGGCCGCTCTCCCGGGTCTCTGGATGGTGTCTGGCGCCCCCCGGACCGGGGGGGTTATCCCGGTCTGCACAAGCAACGACCATGATGTTAAGCTGAGCCGAATACTAACACCCTGCTGCGGATGGCCGCCGCACACCAGCTCCATGTGCGACCTGCCAGCAAGAAGGAGCCTGCCACAGAGGAAACCATCCACCGCCATCTGACTACCACAGCTACTCACCCCAGGGATGTCGACTGCCCACACTGAGCTGACCTAGGGGATGCTAGCAATACATACCTTGAGCGGAAACACACACTTTTGTGTCTTTGGAGGACACCATCATTCCTTCTGGGGCCCCCCCCGGGAGACGACAGTAATGGCTGCATCCAGGATCCTCCTGTGAGGCGCAACGCATCCATCAGAGCAAGCAGCCCGCCAGCACTGGGACTAAACAAATCCACGCAGGTCCTCTACTGCACAGTCCAATTTGAGTAGGTTACAAGATTGTGATGCAACTTACCATATACAAGGACTCTAAGAACTCTGCCATAACCTTGAACACTCAGGACTTTATGAGACCCCATACATAGGACTGACTCAGTAGCTACCGGGTACAACATAATCCCATTGTGGAAATATTATTCTCATGTCCTCTGCTACCCTGGCTAAACTCCTCTCTGCCTCCCAAAAGGCACCACTTATAACACAGATCCCAGCAGGCTCAGATGGCATCTCCTTGTTTAAATTTCATGCTCAGTACTATATATGTTTGTTTAACCTTAGTTAGATGTGGATAGTATAGCAAAAAGCCAATAGGTACTGCCATAGAAATATATAATGTATGTCGAGCGTGTGGCTGACATTTAAACATGGCTCACGACCCTTAATTCGCATTTAACCCTCTACAAGCTACCCTTAACTCTTCCTAACGAAACACTGATCAGCCTGGTAACCACTAACTTGTTCCATATTATGACCTTTAAAACAAAAATGTACAACATTTCTAACACGTAACTAGCATATTTTACTATAAGCTTCTGCGTACCCAACTATATCATTCCAATGCCTAACTAAGCGGGTTCATTCTAACTTAAGGAATTTGTCTTTTTCATGTAATTTAAAAAAAAAAATGTGCAGTTTACACTGCCACACATTGTACAGCTATGAAAACGCCTTGAGTTGCTGTCGTGGCTCTGCATGATGATTGTTATTTAACACACAAATAAAATAAAGAATTAAAATGTAAAAAAATGAAATAATGATAGCTAAAGAGAGCAAAACCAACCCCAAAGCATTTTTTAAGTACATAAATTCTAAAAAAAAACAAATGAAAGTGTAGGTACACTAAAAACTGAAACGGGGGTGTTAGTTAATGAAGACCAGGAAAAGGCAGGAATTTTAAATAACTATTTCTCCTCTGTATATATTAAGGCAGAACTCATGGCAATAGATGTGCAAATGATTGCTACTAAAAACTTGCAGAATAATTGTAATTGGTTAACTCAAGACAAGGTGCTGCAGCAACTAAAGAAAGTTAATATAAACAAAGCTCAAGGGCCTGACGGTATCCATCCACGTGTACTTAAGGAACTAAGTGTAGAAATAAGTGAACCTCTGTTTTTAATCTTTCAAGATTCTTTTCTTTCAGGAAGTGTTCCGGAGGATTGGAGGAAGGCAGATGTGGTTCCTATATTCAAAAAGGGTTCAAAATCCTTGCCTGAAATTATAGACCTGTGAGCTTAACTTCTGTGGCTGGTAAAATATTTGAAAGGTTATTAAGGGATAATATTCAAGAATTCCTTGAGAAGAACATGGTTATCAGCAAAAATCAGCACGGTTTTATGAAGCACAGGTCATGTCAAACTAACTTGATTGCGTTCTACGAAGAAGTAAGTGGAAGTATAGATCAGGGTGTTGCCGTGGATGTGATCTATTTGGATTTTGTCAAGGCATTTGATACAGTTCCACACAATAGATTAGTGTTCAAACTCAAGGAAAAGCTGAAAATGCTTGTTCTTGAGTAGAACATTGGCTCAAAAACAGAGTACAAAGAGTTGTCATTAATGGTAAATTTTCAAGCTGGACAGAGGTGGCAAATGGTGTCCCTCAGGGGTCTGTTCTGGGACCCCTTCTATTTAACATGTTTATAAATGATCTTGAAGACCGCATTGAAAGTCATGTTTCAGTGTTTGCAGATGACACAAAACTTTGTAAAACAATACAATGTGAGCAAGATATTACTTTGCTGCAGAGGGATTTAGATAGACTGGGGACTGGGCACTCAAATGGCAGATGAAATTTAATGTTGAAAAATGCAAAGTTATGCACTTCGGCGTAAAGAATACACAAGCAACGTATACCCTTAATGGAAGCGAATTAGGGATAACAACACATCAAAAGGACTTGGGAATTGTTATAGACAACAAACTATGCAACAATGTGCAATGTCAATCAGCAGTGGCCAAGGCCAGTAAGGTATTGTCATGCATGAAAAGGGCATTCATTCTCGGGACGAGAATATCATTTTGCCTCTTTATAAATCACTGGTAAGACCACATATTGAATATGCTGTGCAATTTTGGGCACCTGTTCTAAAGAAGGATATTATGGCACTAGAAAAAGTGCAGAGGAGGGCTACAAAATTAATAAAAGGAATGGAACATATCGGCTATGAAGAAAGGTTAACAAATTTAAACCTATATAGTTTAGAAAAACGTCGCCTGAGAGGGGATATGATAACATTATACAAATATATTCGGGCCAATACAAACCATTGTGTGGAAATCTATTCACAAACCGGACTTTACATAGGACACGAGGCCATGCGTTTAGACTGGAAGAAAGAAGATTTCGCCTAAGGCAAAGGAAAGGTTTTTTTTACTGTAAGAACAATCAGGATGTGGAATTCTCTGCCTGAGGAAGTGGTTTTATCAGAGTCCATGCAGATGTTCAAACGGCTACTAGATGCATACTTGCAAGAACAGAATATTCAAGGATATAATCTTTCAATGTAGGGTAATAACTGCTTGATCCAAGGATAAATCTGACTGCCATTCTGGGGTCAAGAAGGAATTTTATTCCTAGCTTGTTGCAAAATTGTGCTTCAAACTGGGGTTTTTTGCCTTCTTTTGGATCAACAGCAAAAAACAAATGTGAGATAGGCTGAACTTGATGGACACAAGTCTCTTTTCAGCTATGTAACTATGTAATTATGTAAATAAGTGCGATTTACTCTGTGTAAATTGCGGAAGCGCCTCTAGTGGCTGTCAGGGAGACAGCCACTAGAAGCTGGATTAACCCCTGAATGAAAACACAGCAGAGCACTTCACTGAGCTGAAGTGGTTTGGGTACCTATAGTGGTCCTTTAATTATTTCATTGTTCTTATGTATTTTAGCTGAGTGCACACATTCTGTCATTTAAATTTGTAGCATTCTTACTTTGTTTTAATGCAGAACTCTGAAGACGGAATGATAAACTGATTATAGCAGAATTGGATATATGTTTTCTCCTACATTGCCTATTTTGATTGTAGCTTTGCAAGTTCCAATTTTAATTCACTTTCGCAAAGTTATTCATTAAAGTGAGAATACAAAGTGCATTTCAATGTTAAGATCAAAATAACAGAGCTGTAAACATTTTCTAAGTCAGCTATGGTGTCAGTTCAGCTACTCTGGCCTTAAATTTGAAAACCCCTTTAAATTTTCACTTTTGTAAATAACCATAATAGTGTGTCACGAATAAACACTGCATCCAGTCTTGTATCCTGAAGAATACTCCAGTCTTGGGAAAGTAGAAAATATCACCAGCAATAGATGTTCATTAAATATACATGTTTTCATGGTCTGATGCACACACATACGTCGGTTGTACCCATGTTTGTAGCTTTTTATGTATATGTCAATGCATAAACCTAAAGGCAAACGTAGAAAAATTCACTTTTTTTAATGGGACACTAGGCACAAAAACAATTTAAGTTAATGGAGTGATTTTGGTGTATTGAACATGCCCCTGCATTCTCAATTATCTGAAAATTAGGAATTACGTTTTTGTTTATGCACTCAAGCCACACCTCCCCTAGGTGAGACTTACACAGCTCCCATTCACACTTCCTGTATAGACAAATCTATTTTTTAAAATGTCCATATTGCACAGTGTGTTTAATTAACAATTTCTCATCTCTTGTCCTAGCAATAACCTGCTAAAGCAGGGGTCAGCAATCTATGGCATGTGTGCCATGCATCACTTGAGGAACTTTTGCACTGCACTCATGGCTGCTAGAGCCAAACAAGCTCTGGCCTATTAGGAGTCCCAGTGGGACTTCAGATATGTGCTAGTGCAATACGAATGGTGCTTGCAGGTCGTGAGGGACAATCCTTAATTTACTCATTACAGCACTTAAAGAATGTGATGTCAGATAACGTCCTCCCCGCACTTCTGCAGGGGAATCCACACTAAGGTACAGCTGCCTGCAGCAGCTATCGCAGCTCCTGCCCTTGACCTGTACCTGACCAGCGCAAACCTCTCTGGACCCCAGGGAAGCAACCAAACTGCTAGATATACACAAAGCTGCAGAAGAAGCCCCTCCCATACAAGTAATACAAATAGCCTACATACAAACACACACATAGTACCCACAAACACAACACCATTGACAATACACATACACGCGCACAACCCCACAAGCAGTCTCTCAGATGCAATACCACAGTCAGCCCCACTCATTATACACCCCACCAAACATACATTGTGACGTATCATTTACACGGACACAATTCCACAAGAAGCCCCCAAACACAACCCACATCCACAAGTATCATACACAATACCACAAACTACTCATGAACATGAACAGCCCACATACGCACAAATACAATGCTAAAAAACAACTGCAGCACCCATAAATAACCCAAACAGAATACTGCAACAAACACACCTCAGTGTGTGCGCAGGGAAGCAAGCCGACAGCCACTGTGCAAATTTATTAAAAAGACTAAGATGGGGATTTATATAAAATTGTATCATATGATAGGAGGCTTCATATTTTGCATAACTTTCTTTACTTATGCCTCTAGCAGCACAAGTCAATCAATAAACTTTAAACCAATCAGTAACAGGTATCACATCCATATATAAAGCCCTGATAGACACATGACTTCCTCTTTCTTTGCTGCTCCAACCAAGGCACAGGTCAGAGTAATATGCTCCAAACTGTCTATGCATTGATATAGCTATTTACACTTTATTTGAACATATTGTTTATTGATATTTATCCCCTGTTCCCCTTTTCCCCTGTTTTACGCTTTATGAAGATTTAATACTAGTTTACCTGTCATCTCTTTGCTGGCCCTGTGTTCCCTCCCTGTCACTCCTTGCGCGGATCGCAGCATTTTACCGCGTTCACGTTTTTTTTCCTGACGGGTTCTGGGGTTTACAGGCAGGGGTACTGGGGGTGGGAGGAGTGTGCCATAACCAGTAGGCTGCGATCGGGGGCTGCATGGCATATTTGCGCGCAAACATCGGCTATCTTGAATCTCGCAGTACCGCAAGATTCACGGCGGCCATCTTGGTTTTGACAGTTCGTGATTCCCACGAACTGGCATTTTTTTCGCTGCAATTTATGTATATATGTTTCACTGTTTGCTCCTGATGTGTGTGCACATGTGTGTATAGATATGACACATACATACTATTTTGTTTTTTCATGATTGTGGATTAAAAGAGGTTGAAAGTAGTGTCCAGCTCTCTCCTACTCTACCTAGAGTACCCCCTTACAAGGATATAACCCCTCTCCATTGGGGCAACAATATTCCAGATCCATATGTGGGTGCACCTAATTGATTATATTACAGGGGTGACCCCCAATCACCAGTCCTAGTGGCATACATATACAGGGGTGACCCCCCTTACAGGCGGAGTGACCTCCCGCGCCCTATTAGGGGCTTATACACACAGAGTACGCTCTATCACTGTGCAGTGTGCCCTGAGCGGTGGCTGGGGGCCCTAAATTAGAATAAAGGTGGGACCTATTGTCCTCCCCCCAAGCCCTCACACCTGAGCGGTGGGTGGGGGCCCTAAATACCAATTAAGGGGGGACCTATTGTTCTCCCCCCCCCCACCCCTGAGCAGTGGGTGGGGGCCCTAAATATCTACAAGGGGGGGACCTATTGTCCTCCCCCAGCCCCCACCACTGAGCGGCGGGTGTCGGCCCTAAATAAAAATGTAAGCCCCACCCCAGGGTGACTAGTGGTCCCCAAACCCCTAGTCACCCCCTCCCAACAAAATTAACCCCTACCTACCCACCTCACCCTAAAAATAGTGAGGGTGGACCAATAAATAGGTACCTTTAAAAAGAAAAAAACAATTAAACTTACCATTTGATGTCTTCTTTTTTCTAAAATCTTCTTTTTTCAGCCCCAAAAAAGGCCAAATAAAAATCCATAATAACGGTTGCACTTTGGAAAAAAAAAACCCCAAACACAAAAAAAATAATCCATCTTCACTCATGGAGGGCACCACACAGACTGAGCTTTGCAGGACTGGGGAAGGCTTATAAAGCCTTGCCCCGCCCTGCAATTAGGCTCAGAGCACTCTGGTTGGTTGGTTTAAGCTAACCAATCAGAGTGCTCTGACAGGTAAATCTCTACATTTACCTGTCACAGCACTCTGATTGGTTAGCTTGAAATCCCTTGGTAAACTCATTAACTCCTTGGCTTCCAATATCATTTCTATGCAGATGACACACAAATCTACCTGTCCTCTCCTGATCTCTCCCCGTCCCTCTTGACTAGTGTCTGACTGCCTCTCTGCTGTTTCTAACTGGATGGCTGCCCACTTCCTTAAACTAAACTTGACCAAAACTGAAATTCTGGTCTTTCCTCCCTCAAGAGTTGTTACTCCTGTGTCTGTCTCCCTCCAAGTCAACGGTGCTACCATCAGCTCCACCACGCAGGCTCGCTGCTTAGGTGTTCTCTTTGACTCCGACCTCTCCTTCAAGCCTCATGTTCAATCTATCGCCAAATCCTGTCATTTCCATCTCAAAAACATTGCGCGCATCCACCCCTACTTAACGCCAGATGCGACTAAGGTGTTGGTCCATTCCACTGTCCTTTCTCGCCTTGACTACTGTAATCCAGTTCTCATTGGTCTTACGTGCTCCCAACTAGCGCCGTTACAGTCCATAATGAATGCGGCGGTGAGGCTCATCTTCCTGTCCGCACGCACCTCCCATGCCTCACCCTTCTGTCAATCCCTACATTGGCTTCCTATAAAATATAGAGCTCAATTTAAAATTCTGGTTCTTGCTTTCAAATCTCCACATAATGCTGCTCCCACCTATCTATCCTCCCTTATACACAAGTATGTCCCGTCTAGGCCCTTACGATCTGCTCAAGACTTATGTCTATCTTCTGATGCTCGCCTTCAAGATTTCTTGAGGGCTGCACCGTTCCTGTGGAACTCGCTTCCCTCCTCCGTTAGATGCTCACCCAGTCTCCATTCCTTCAATAAATCGTTAAAAATCCACTTCTTCATAAAAGCGTATCCATTAAACTGTTAATAGCTCCTGACTGATTCCTCTTCTGCAACTGTCATTAGTCCTTACCTTTTTGTGTCATTTTACCCCACTCCCTCTAGCATGCAAACTCATTGAGCAGGGCCCTCAACCCCTCTGTTCCTGTGTGTCCAACTTGTCTAGTTACAACTACATGTCTGTTCGTCCACCCATTGTAAAGCGCTGCGGAATTTGACGGCGCTCTATAAATATCATAATAAATCAAGCCACTTTTTACTCATAACTCTCTGGTTACTTTCACCAATCAGAGTGTTGTTATGTCAAATTACACAGCGTGGGAAAATTCCAAAGATCTTTCCCACGCTGTGTAAAATGACACAGAGCACTCTGATTGGCTGGATTTCAAGCTAACCAATCATGTAGAGACTTACCTGTCAGTCTCTTCATTTACCTGTCAGAGCACTCTGATTGGATGGCTTATACCAACCAACCAGAGTGCTCTGAGTCTAATTGCAGGGCGGGGCAAGGCTTTATAAGCCTTCCCCCGTCCTGCAGAGCTCATTCTGCATGGAGCCCTCCATAGGTACAGATGGATTATTTTTTTTTGCGCTTCGGTTTTTTTTTTTTCAAAGTGTGGCGGTTATTATGGATTTTTTGGGGCCTTTTCATCAAATGGTGACATCAAATGGTGTTTAAGTAAGTAAGTTTTTTTTACAGGTACCTATTTATTGGTCCCCACTCACTATTTTTAGGGTGAGGTGGGTAGGTAGGGGTTAATTTTGTTGGGAGGCAGCTGGGGGGGAGGACAACAGGTCCCCCCCCTTATTCTAATTTAGGGCCCCCACCCACCACTCAGGGGTGGGGGCTGTGGGGGAGGACAATAGGTCCCCCCTTTATTGGTATTTAGGGCTCCCACCCACCACTCAGGGGTGGGGACCACGGGGGAGGACAATAGGTCCCCCCCTTATTGGTATTTAGGGCCCCCACCCGCCGCTCAGGGGCGGGGGCCGGGGGGGAATGACAATAGGTCCCCCCCCCTTATTCTAATTTAGGGCCCCAACCCGCCATTCAGGGGTGGGGGCGGGGGGAAGGACAATAGGTCCCCCCTTTAGTTTAAAAGACCCCACTTGCGCGGCACGGGTGGGAGCTCGGGAGCGGGCCCCTATTTTTTTTTTTGAGGCCGCTCACTGTTTAATAGACATGCCCCTACTCGCGGTATAGCGAGTAGGGGCAGATTATTTACTAATACTAAGTAATTTTTACTTAGTATTAGTAAGCTTGGCTGAAAGACCAATTTATACAAGTGATGTAGCCATGTAGGTATTAGTATCACAAGTGAGTATAGTCACGATAATGTTCATTTTTTTAATTTGGAGATATATATATAGAAATTCGTAAGACATTTAAAAAGAAATTGATATCAATGGTTACATTGATAAATTGAGTTGCCATTATAGCCCCTGGCTTCAGAATATTCCCAAGGGGCAACTAACTCGTTTGTATAGGAATGGTTTTTGAAATCAAGCTTGTTTTTTTTTTTTTTTTTTTAAATACACTAGGAGAAAAAAAAAGTATGATATACAAAATATAGATGAATGCATTGAAAATATTTAATCAATAGATAAAAAAACCACTCCTAGAAAAGAAACAATTGGATGATAAAGTAATTTTAAAAAGGGACAATAATGATATACTTCTCATTTTAGATTTTAATGAGTATACTAAACAGGTCAAAGATGTTTTAAATAGATATTGGTGTATTCTAAGGACCGAACCGGATTTAAAAAGCATTATAGAAGAAAAGCCACATATAATATATAGAGGAGCAAATAACTTTAAACAGCTGTCAATTAGCTATCTTAGAGATAAAGGACATGAGAGGGATTTCTTTGGTTTGAAAAAGGTGTTTATCCCTGTAAGTCCATTGAGATGACGTGGTCTGGGTGCACTGGCCCTTCAGTTTTATTGTTGGTCTGTATTGCATAAACTGCAATTCCTCCATTGCAGAGTTGACACACCTCAAGATTCAATAGAGGCCCTTCTGTGTTGAGAACAGAGTCAAACTTGGTTCTCATTCAAATGCTGCTTCAAGCGCAGCGCATTTAATTGGTGCAGCATGGTGATTTGTTGGGCAAATGCCCTGGCCTCCCAATGCTTCTCTATGGGGAAGATTGATCATCGATACAACGGAGAGAGAGCAGCATGGCAAGTAAGAAAAGGTGAGTAAAGATACCTTTCCTAAACACTACAATCGGGTCCAGACACTTAAACAGCTTCAGGACACTATAGGGTTAGGGATACATTTTTGCATTCCAAGCTCTATAGTGTTCCTTTAATACAGCTTTCAATACACAAGGAATTATTTGATAAACACGCAGAAAATGGCTTCAGACAATTATGGCTGTATATTAAAGCTCGTGAAAATACAGCTTACCGGAGTTATAATGCATGGTCAGTAACATACGGTTTTGCATGAGTACCCCAATACAAAAAAAGACAAATCCGGTAGAATTTTGGTCATTTTAACCAGCTTCTGGTGCCTGGTTTAAATTCAGTACATGACCCCTATAGAACTATTGGAAGGATTTTATCCTTTAACCTTCAAGGGCCATGCCAAACCACTGCTCTCTAGGTTGTCACTAGAGTCTGTTGCACCACCACTGCAAAGTCTTTCATTGGCTTTACAATACATCTTATCAGATATATGATTAATACACTTTAATGTGACTTACAAAGCCCTCAGCAGCCCTGCTCTTTATTTTTCCCTCTTTGTCTCTGTTACTAAATACTACTTAGTCACAGAACTTATCGGTTATTAAAAACTCCTGTTTGAAAATGATTTTCCCCGTCACTATATTTAAACACACCCTAAAAATTATTTTAAAGAGGAAATGTCACATTTTTCACAATTATTACTTTTAATAAAACATTGAAATGACTTGTGTTAACCTTTTATTTTATCTCACGCCCTGATTAATTTTAAATGTTTATTAAAAACTAAATATCAATCTAGTTCAGGCCCTGGCACAGTTTGCTGTCGATTCTGACAAACATTAACATTAATTATGGAGGCACTCAGTGGTGTTGACTTTTTATAGTTTGTAAGCACATATTTGTTAAATAAAGGTCATATTACAAATGCTGAGACAGTTTACCTTTAAATGAAGCAGCATGTTTGTCAGTGAAAGTGTACGCTGATTAAACAGTCAGACAGAGTGTGTATGCTTAAAAGGATGAAAATGTTTAAAGGACCACTATAGTGCCAGGAAAACATACTCGTTTTCCTGGCACTATAGTGCCCTGAGGGTGCCCCCACCCTCAGGGACCCCCTCCCGCCCGGCTCAGGAAGGGGGAAAGGGGTTAAAACCTACCTTTTTCCAGCGCTGGGCGGGGAGCTCTCCTCCGATCCTCCTCTTCTCCACCCCGTCGGCTGAATGCGCATGTGCAGCAAGAGCTGCGCGCGCATTCAGCCGGTCACATAGGAAAGCATTCATAATGCTTTCCTATGGACGCTGGCGTGCTCTCACTGTGAAAATCACAGTGAGAAGCACGCAAGCGCCTCTAGTGGCTGTCAATGAGACAGCCGCTAGAGGAAATAGGGGAAGGCTTAACCCATTCATAAACATAGCAGTTTCTCTGAAACTGCTATGTTTATGAAAAAATGGGTTAACCCTAGAAGGACCAGGCACTCAGACCACTTCATTAAGCTGAAGTGGTCTGGGTGCCTAGAGTGGTCCTTTAATTGAAATTATTACACTCAATACATGTGATTTATAGTGAGATGCATATAGGAGTGTATGTATGTACATACATACAGTACATATACACTATATACACATGCATGCCCAAAACTATTTATGCTCATTAGATTGAGCATAAGATTTTATCTATACATGGTGCTAGCAGTTTTGCTAGCAAATGCTGGCTAGAGAGTGTAGAAACGGAGTGACGTGATGTCACTCCATTCCGACAGAATTGCCCTGCTTGGGTATGCGTCCCAAGCAGGGCAAATCAAAGAAGAACAGAGGCGGAGCGGAGGAAGGCCAGGAGGTGGGTGTTATATGAAGAGTAACACCCATGAAGTGGTAGTGGAGCGGAGAAAAGTGAATAAATCTTTATATTTTACATTGAATACACTATGTATCTTTAGGTTTTCAATGTATAAGGGAGTGATTTAATGCAAGTAATTTTTTTTCTCATTACAGGTTCACTTTAAGGTCTTTAAAAATATTGACCCTCCACTACCTGTCAATGAAACCCTCAACATTACTCGTGTGGGCCAGTGGCACACAGTGTCTAATGCCATAGATTGAGTGACAGGAGGTCCTCTTGCTCACGGTCACCGAGTTACTCGCCTAGCAGGCCTTAGGGATGCCAGTGTGCTGGCATTGAAGCCAGCATGGGGGATTGTCATGCCTGGCGAACTTATCCTAAGCAGGGCCATTCACTCCACACTCATACCCAGCCACATATACACAATCCAACTCCCCATATACATAATCACACTCAGTGAAGCTCCATACATATCACATTCAGCTCTATTGCTTAGAGTGAGCAAGGAAGGGTGATAAGGGGTCACTTCTTTGATTCTTGCACTGGGGCTCTGTGATTTCTAGTTACGCCCCGGCTGTTCATCTTTCTTAAGAATGCAGTCCATTTCTGCCATTGAATATGCTATGAGGAGTAGTTGATTTTTTTTCTCCAATGCAAAGTATGCTCTGGGTGTGCCTGGACTGAACTATGATGTTATGCTAACTAAAATAACACACACATTACTTGGAAAAATAGGGTTACACAATTTTAGGTGGTCAATGTTTTATTAATCTGTACAACCCAACCAACATTTCAAATGTTGGGACACTCCAGACCCTAAAGCATTTTAGCATGCAAAAAAAAAAAGCATTATTAAATGCATGCATTTTTTCATATATCTACTCAACAATAATTATTCATTTGGGCAGTGTAATGTCCCTTTTATTCTATGGAGGGGGTGTGGCCAGGGGAAGGGTTGTTCTAAACACTTTTTTATAGTTATACGCTCACAATAACAATGTAGAGCTCCTAGAATAGAGGGACATTAATATAGAAACGAGGGACAGTTGGACTAAATAGGGACAAATGGGAGGTATGGAGGTATTTTTTAGAAAAGTTATAGTTCTTAGACATGTGCAATTCGTTTCGGTCCGAATTTCGGCAATTCAGTCGCTTTCGATTGTCCAAAGTGCTTCGGATTTCTGAAAAGTGGCAAAACAGGAGAGGGAGGGAAAATTAAGGGAATGATGACAGGAATCTGAGTATATTTGAAGTATGGGATTGTCACCAGTGCGGTACCTCAGGGATCTGTACTTGGACCCATTCTCTTTAATATTTTTATTAGTGATATTGCAAAAGGTCTTGATGGTAAGGTATGTCTTTTTGTGATGATACTAATATATGTAACAGGGTTGATGTTCCAGGAGGGATAAGCCAAATGGCAAATGGTAAACTAGAAAAATGGTCAGAGTTGTGGCAACTGACATTTAATTGGGATAAGTGCAAGATAATGCATCTTGGACATAAAAACCCAAGGGCAGCGTACAGAATATTTAATAGAGTCCTAACCTCAACATCTGAGGAAAGGGATTTAGGGGTGATTATTTCTGCTGACTTAAAGGTAGGCAGACAATGTAATAGAGCAGCAGGAAATGCTAGCAGAATGATTGGTTGTATAGGGAGAGATATTAGCAGTAGAAAGAGGGAAGTGCTCATGTCATTGTACAGAACACTGGTGAGACCTCACTTGGATTATTGTACGCAGTACTGGAGACCATATCTCCAGAAGGATATTGATACTTTGGAGAGAGTTCAGAGAAGGGCTACTAAACTAGTTCATGGATTGCAGGATAAAACTTACAAGGAAAGGTTAAAGGAACTTAACGAGTATAGCTTGGAGGAAAGACGAGACAGGGAAAATATGATAGAAACATTTAAATATATAAAGGGAATCAACACAGTAAAAGAGGAGACTATATTTAAAAGAAGAAAAACTACCACAACAAGAGGACATAGTTTTTCTTAATTTAGAGGGGCAAAGGTTTAAAAATAATATCAGGAAGTATTACTTTACGGAGAAGTTAGTGGATGCATGGAACAGCCTTCCAGCTGAAGTAGTAGAGGTTAACACAGTAAAGGAGATGCATAAGGCTAACTATAAGGTAAAGCCAGGGACTAATGAAAGTATTTTTAAAAATTGGGCAGACTAATGGTTCTTATCTGCCGTCACATTCTATGTTTCTATGTCTATGTTTCTATGAATCTAACCCTAATCTGGTTAGGTTTAGGGAATTGCCGAAGTCCCAAATTGCCGAATTTCGGACTCCCGAGCCGAACATCCCTAATAGTTCTTATTTAAAGGTGTTGAACGCATAGTATTTTTACGCAGATTTGGGTTGCAATATTATAGAGAATTTGGAGCGGGAATATAGAGAGCTATTTCAGGCACAAAAAAAGTTCCACACCATTACAGTCTTCATATTGTTAGGTTTATTTAGGTATTATCATTGTTGTGGACAAAAATATTAACCCAATTCATATTAGTAAAATGCCTATTTACTCAGCATACCTACAATCAGCATTATTCAAATTTATGTGATTTACATAAAATGGCCGCTAGGGAGTTTCCCTTTGACATCGACTAACACCCTCACTAACAAGATGGCGCTGGAATCTGGGGGAGACCTCCAAGATACCAGAGACATCACACCCGGTAGGAAGAGCAATAAATGAACCACTTAACACCTAACCAATTATTGATGTATTATTTCATGTTATCTCTGACAAAGCATATGATGTAATTTTGCTTTATAAGGGGAATGCCGTCCCCTCAGAATAAACATTCCTCAAGCTTTTCACTAACCCGAAACCTGTGTCTGTTGTGAATTACTTTAGGAGCGTTCACGCACTACTGCTTTAATTTGGCCGCGGGCAGATACACAAGATAATCAATTAATTGATTGATTCCACATCATTTGGCGCCCAACGTGGTGCACCGGATTTCGCCGGTTCGGACCGCCGGAAAACGGGACCGGAGCGGACCTCTGGAAAGTGGGACAGTCGGAGCCTGATCACCTCCTAAATACAGCGGTTTGCCTGTATTCTCCTGTTTTGTGCCGGTCTGTCTCTGTGTCCACTTCCGGCTTCCAGAAGGCTACAAGACAGGTAATCTCTTATCCGGTGCCTTTTTTAAAACGAACCTGTCGATTGTCTATCTGCCTCCTGAGTGTATGTATGCTTGTGAGACAGCTGGTGTGTGGTTTATTACCTTTTTTATTATTATAGCTTGACTGCCTAGCGGGCAGGGAACCGCCTAGAGAAAGGCTGGGAATAGTGTCTGCCCGGTGAAGGGCTGGGAACCGCCTAGAGAAAGGCTGGTAATAGTGTCCGCCCGGTGAAGGGCTGGGATCCGCCCAGAGAAAGGCTGGGAATTTTGCTGTACTGTTCAGAGTAGAACAGGGTTTTATTTGCTGTTTAGTCGTTACTATGCTTGTTTTTATACTGTTCTTTATTATTTTTTGGTTTCTGTTCAGTTATAGCCATACCCTAGTTGTGTGTGAGTTGTGTGGCTCATCTTTCAGATTATGTGCACATCTCTACATCTGTGACTCGTGTAAAGGTCTTCTGAGTAGTCTCTCCACGTTCACCTTTTCCTTATTCTCTACCTCTTCTGTATTTGCTGCCCAGAGCTGTGTTAGTCACCCACGCTCACCCACTCAGATCCGTAGCCACCATCTCGGGTGGACGGATCCCGTGACTAGTCTACGTTTTGGGAAGACGCACAAGGATCAATTCCTTGTGGCAGTCGAGCACTGTAGACATTCCTTTTTCTTCTCTCTCTCTCTGTGTACATCGTACGTGGGCAGCCTTGTTTGGTAAAAATGGGACAAGAACATGCCAGACCTTCTAAAGGCTATTTAGCTTGTGATATTGTTAAGGAGAGAGCAGGGGAAGAGGCTATGTTAAAAATGAAGAAGATAGCAAAGATTTGTGGTTTTCAAATGTCACCCAGTGGTAGATTAGAACCAGAGTTTTGGAGGAAATTACTTGTTGATAAAGAGGGGTTGTTACTGGATAACAGGTTAACGAAAGCCGTAGAGGCTTGGTATCGGGTAGCAAGGAGATTCAAGCGGGAGGGTTGGTCAGAGGAAAAACTAGATCTTGAAGGACAAACGGTTTATGTATATCACAGAAATGTTTGCAATGATGATTCATCTCTTGATGTTCCCCGACCACCGCCCTATGATGGCGCCCAGAGCACTGTGAATGAATCTCGCCCCGTCTCCCCCGTCACTACCCAGTCACCACCTCCAGTTGGCGTAGGCTCCTCTGTCCCAACCCCTCTGTACCCCGTCCTCGGTGTGGATGGATCTTATTATTACCCCGTCCCTCTCCCGCCTCATGCCGCCATTCCCATTACCCCAGCCCCTCTCCCATTTCCCTCTGGTCCCATCTCTCTTCCACGTTCCCTTGTCACTGCCAATCCAGTCCCTCTATCATCTCCCCCGTCACTTCTTCTGCTGTCACCCCCCTCATTCCTCCCATCTTCACCTGCTGCCTCCCCTGTCACCCCCCTCGTTCCTCTCCGACACTCCTTCTATTCCTGTTCCCCTCCCGCCTTCACCCGTTGTTCCCCTTGTTGCATCTCCCTCTGCCGTATCTCCCTCTTCCCTTACTATTCCCTCTAGTCCTACTCCTCCCTCTCCTCTCCCCATCACCCCTTCCGTTCCAGTTTCCCCTCCCCTTCCCACCTCCCACCCCGTTGTTCCTCCCTCCTTTGATCTCTCGTCACTGATTTCCACCCTCTCTGCCTCCAGTACCACTCCCTCTATTCCTCCACCTCCCTCTCCTCTCCTCACCACCCCTTCCGTCCCAGTTCCTGATTCCCATCCCCTTCCTGTCTCTAACCCTGTTGTCCCTCCCTCCTTTGATCTCTCGTCACTTATTTCCGCTCTCTCTGCCTCCAGTGCCACTCCTTCTACTCCTCCACCTCCCTTTCCTCTTCCTGATTCCCATCCCCTTCCTGTCTCTAACCCTGTTATTCCTCCTTTTGATCTTTCATCACTCGTTTCCGCCCTCTCCGCTCATTTGCCTCAGCCTACCCAGCCCGCCCCCTCGCCCGTTCCAACTCCTGTCTCCACCACCCTCATGACGGCTCCCAGTTATCCGATTATGGTAGTTGGCTCGAATGAGTCTACCATGTCGGGACAACCTCATGCTGTAGACATTTCTCCTGCAGCATCAGGCTTCCATCCCACTGCCTCCCAGTTAGTTACTCCCCAGGCCATCGCTGTCGGTTTCCCCGGCACCGATGATCCAGCCGCTCAAGCCCCTAATTCAACAGATGTTGCCAGCTATCATGGTCTCCCATTCCCGGTCCCCCCCGGGGTTGACAATGTGCAGGTGCTCAGCCCATTCCGTCCTTCGGATAATAGGATTTCCCAGAGACAGGTCACCCATATCCATGCCTTATCAGTGGAAGGGGCTCCCCCGATGTATGTTACTTTCAATCCCTCCCAAGCTGCAACCCTAGTGACCTCTCTCCCCGACCCTGAGAAGCAGCCCATGCCATTCTTCCGGAGGATTGCCCAAATTCGTAAAAAATACTCAGCAGCCTGGCGTGATCTGTACAGTCCTGTGTGAGATCAAGGCTGGGGATGCCTATTGGCCCATTATGGAAAGTAGTTTTAATGACGCTCTCCTCACTACCGACATGGATTTCCAGTCGGGTATTACTTTCTGTGAACAGCTTCGAGCCTGGGCTCAGGATAAACTAGCTGACCAAGCCATTTGTATAAATGACATTATACAAGATAAACT